ATTTCAGCAGAGTAAGTTAAGAACTTGGTGCACTGACCAGTGTGTGAGCACATTAGCTTATAGCTACAGTGTTCAAGCATCCCGGGGTATTACAGCTGTATGGGCAGCCCATAAAGTTGTGCAGCCCACTTACTTGATGCATCTGTGAGCATAAACAGGGTGTTATCCACCACAGGGTGAACAACATGGACACAGTTTAGTGCAGTAGATTATCTGTTAGGGTAAGCCTGTGATTAAAGACAGCATAGGAAGACATTATCAAGGTTGCAAGTGTAGTGCAGCTGTGTTGCTAGTGCAGCTGTGTATGGCAGCCATACGTGTCTGTATCCGGGTGGCAGACCAAAATTGAAACCGAAGGATGGAGAAAAATGCCTTGTAAATAATGTTGGAGCACAGAGGGAGGCTCTAACAAATGATGGGAAATGTGGGGGGAAAGGTCAGTGGATAAATAGTACAACTGCACCATGAGCAGCAAAAGAGAGACTAGAACAAGTGCAATTCTGACTCCATCGTAGTAGGCATCAAAATACCATTCTTCGATTAGCATATCCAATTGCTCTGTTGCTTCATCAGTTTCAGATAGCAAAACACATTCCTTGTTTATGGAAACAGTGTAGAAAGATGTGCAGCGTGCCTTTGGATTATGGAGCCTGGTAATGGAGTGCAGGAGCAAACTGACCATTTACTTTACTAGGGGAAATCCGGATGGGCTGTTTGCCCTAAGCCCCATCCATCCCCACTGTAGGGAGCCAGTGAGGAGGCATATACATGCTGCTGGTATAGGGTGGGGCAGGAAGCCACTGTACCTACACTCTTCCTCACTTAGGCCTGTGAAGACGAGCATGGTCACGGCAACACCCAGCTTCACCCTATGCCACATTTCTCCTTGCCAGCCCCAGCATTTCCAGGCCAGTGAAAAGGAGCAAAGCCAGAACAACATTTAGCTTTACGCTGTATCAACTTAGGCATCCTTTGTCTGGAGAGCAGAAGCATGGTGGTGCCCACCTTTGCCCTGCTAGCTTGTACGGGGTGAAGGGGGTAAGGAGGAATGCCAGGGCCAGTGTTCCCTCTAAGCTGAGTTTAGTGTGAGCTACCTCACAGAATTTTAGCCTCCAGCTCACAGATTTTTTGTCTTAGCTCACAGGAAGGATGGCTCCAGAGCAAGCTAATTTATGCAGTAGCCAAATCACTTGCTCACAACTTTAATGCCAGCAGCTCACAAATTTTTGCTCACAAGACTCCACAGTTTAGAGGGAACATTAGGGCGTCTCTTTTCTTTGGGGCTGACCAGTCCTTCATGAGGTGAGGCAGGGTGTGGTGACTGAAGGGGGGGGTGGCCCTTTCCCAGGGCCGTTTTGTCTTCCCACCTGCCCCAGTTTGGTGGGAGAACAAGCTGTGCTAGCTGAGCTGGGGAGGCAAAGGAAAGATAAGCAGACAAAGTGCCAGATGCTTTTGGATAGTTTGCCTCTTATCTGCTGTTATCAAGATGAATATAGGCTGTATTCCTCCCTTTTATATGGGCTCATTTCCTAGGAATGATGTTCAGGAAGGTATAGTGGATCCAGCTGGATTAGGAAATTGTGCCAGGACTCTTCAGATCCCTTCCAAACCAAAATTCCTCCCAACTTTGACTAGAACCATGGGGATTCTCATTGTCGCCTTCTGTGTTTCATCACTCCCCTTTCCCACCAGGAGCAACCATATAACCACATTTATGAAACAGAAGTATGTCTGGTGACATTCTCCACTAGTGCTGGAAGTGCCTTATTTATTACCTTTGTATCCTACTCTTCCACAAAATCCAGGGCAGCAGACTTGATTCTGACCTCCATTTTATCCTCAGAACAACCCTATGGGATCGTTTAGGCTAAGAGAAACCGAATGACCCAAAATGAGCCAGTGAATTTCATGAAGAATGGGGATTTGAACCTGGGTCTCCCCAGGACTAGTCCAACTCCCCAGAACTGTACCACCCTGGTTCTCACCTTCCTATATATGATCATACAGCACCTAGATATGTGTTTGCAGTGGAAGCCAGCCAATGAGGATGACATGAGGCCTGTTTTCTTTTTAAGGCATTTGTTTGTGTAATTTATCTTAAAAGAAGATGTAAACTTTAGTCACATCCAATTGTCAGGATTTTTAGTTAAGAAATGTACCAGATATTTAGAAAATTCATTTCCTCTTGATTAGATCACTTCTTCCTGTTAATATTTCATAGTTGCAACATCTTTCAGGGATATGTGAGATTTGTAAATATATTACCTGTAGCGAATTAAATCCATTTTCTGAATAGGAAAGTGCTGTAAGGCAGACAGTTCTCCACAATGAAGTTATCTTTTCAGAGTTTCAATTAATTTTGAGGTGGACAGTACATATGTTGTTGTTCTGACATGGCTTAATTCATTTAAGATAAATTAAGTCCAAATTTCTTTAAAGTAATTGTGCCCCAGAAAAAGGAAAACTGACACTGCGCATGAGCTACATCAGTAATATCTTTCCAAACATCATGCAGTAAATGTGTATACTAAGGCATAACAAAAGAGCACTTGAATCATTTTGGTGTAGTGGTTTGGTGTAGTGATTAAGTGCGCGGACTATAATCTGGGAGAACCGGGTTTGATTCCCCACTCCTCCACTTGCTGGCTGGATGACCTTGGGCAAGCCGTAGTTCTGATAAGAGCTGTTCTTGAAAAAGAGTAGTTTCTGTCAGAGCTCTCTCAGCCCCACCTACCTCACAAGGTGTCTGTTGTGGGGTGGGGAAGGGAAAGGAGTTTGTAAGCTGCTCTGAGACACCTTTGGGTAGTGAAGGGCGGAGTATAAATCCAATCTCTTCTTCTTCTTGTTGTTAGTCATTTATACTTGGAAGGTGACTTGTTTTCTCTTTCCACCAATGGTAATCAATTATGTTTAATTATGTAGCATCATGACCTGTGGTATGTGTGACACAGGAGAGTACTTTTGTGATCAACACCATCGTCACCACTAAGTACTGTGGTGCTTGTCTGTTTGAAATGATTCACTGACCAAGCAAAAGCATTGTTAATAGGATGTTTGTACTATAGATTCTGACTGACAAGTGAGAAAAATTAAGGCCTTTTGCTGCTTTTCTATACAAGAATGGTAAAGGTATATACATACAGCATTTTTTCTTGAGCAATTTGTATTTAGTGTGTCCTGAAATCTTCACAGCCTTTCATTTTCAGACTTAAATGCCATCTGCAGGCCCCCACTGAGGTCCCACTGTCTGCTATGAAGACGTAACAATGCAGCCATTCCATAGCAGACAATGTGGAATTCCACCTTGGCTCGGTGGAGACACAGCGACCACTCACTGGATGTAATCCAGAAGCTGCAACAACCTTTATTCTATTTTTAGAACTCTTTATTCTATGGTTTGTAGTATAGTCTGCAATAGGACTTTGTATTAGAAACCGAAATGCTTCCAGTGAATCAGGGACTGTTTCAAGTAATGGTAACATTCCACATGCAGCTTGGGGTGGGAGGGTGTGAAAAAATGCAGGGCACACGGGCCATCGTCAGGTGATGATATTGCACGTCAGTTACATGGTATTTGAACATGACAACATTTCAGCTGTTTCTGCAACACGGAGAAATGTATAAGAAACTGAAGTTTTTTTAGAACTCACGTAGGTCTCTCTTAGACTTGCAAAATGTCTCTCCTCCCTGTATGAGTTCGAAGTCTCCTGGAAAAAAACACTAATGAAACCTATTGAAAATGCAGAGACATTAATCAGAATGTTTCCGCATTGCTCTCTATAGTGTACTTTCCCCCCTTGTTGACCTGCACTTGCAAAATCATATTTAGACTGTCAACTGCAGTCTCTACTTGAACAAGGGCACAATCCCATCATAACTTTTCTCTAGACACAGTAAAACTATAATCACAAAGAGCTGCAACCCAAACAGCCAGCACAGGGGCACTCCCATGCGTACAGCAAGGTCACTAGCTGGGAGAAAATTGATAAGGATTGATACGTGCCGTTTTTATATTTGCATAATGAGTTCTTTAAAAATGGTATTTGGACATTGCTGTATCTTTTTATGTGTCAATACACAATCAAGGTCATGCAGCATGCAAGCAGCCAGGGAAGGGTAATGCTATGTGGTTGTTTTGCATGTTAATGGGCTTCTTCTCAAGGCAGTGTTATGACAAGCTGCTGTGCTCTCTCAGCAGTGCACTGTATTGGTGGAAACAAAAAGATGCACAAGATCTGAAAGCAAGCATTTCCTTTTGCCTCCCTCTAAAGTGCCATGCCGAGGATAGGACTTTGCAGTCTTTCCATGGATTGTGGAATGAGAACTTTAACATAGCACAATTGTAGGTCTGAGTATCAACTAATATATCCATGGCCTTCAGAAAACATTTAAAGTCCATAAGGAACTGATTCACTGGCCAGATCAGAGCAGTGATGTCGTCTTGGTCTCAATTATATTATATTGCTTTACACTTCAGTGATCGCTGTGTAGAAGTGATAGCTATGTAGAAGTGAGTTTTTGCTAGAAGTGATAGCTATGTAGAAGTGAGTTTTTGCTCTATTTTTTAAAAAAATAAATTCCATTGAGCTTTTAAATATTTTTAAGAGTAAAGTGGCAATTCTGTGTGTGCTTTCTTGAGAGTCAGTCCAATTTAATATGGCAGGGCTTAGTTTTTGGGTAACTGTGTAGGATTCTGCCTTAAGTAATTTTGAGAAGTGATATAACTTAAAAAAATAAATTCCATTGAGCTTTTAAATATTTTTAAGAGTAAAGTGGCAATTCTGTGTGTGCTTTCTTGAGAGTCAGTCCAATTTAATATGGCAGGGCTTAGTTTTTGGGTAACTGTGTAGGATTCTGCCTTAAGTAATTTTGAGAAGTGATATAACTTTGTGCTCTGATGACAAACAAGCATACACTAAAAATGCATGTTTATATAAAATGTTGTCAATTTCTGCCATTCAATGGGAAAGAACATGAATAATTTCCCTTTTTCTTTATAGTTTTATGTGCTGAAAGAGTGGGCCAGATGACTAAAACATACAATGACATTGATGCTGTTACACGTCTTCTTGAAGAGGCAAGTATTCCATGTTCATACAAGATACATTTTGTTTTAGAATGGTGAGGTTCCTTTGGAAAACTTATCAGAAACCATTATTTTCCTGCCTTGGTAAATCTATATGTTCTGTAAGCACATAAGAATAAAAATAGTTGCTAACACAAGGTTTTTGTGTTGTTCCTTGTGCTGATAGTGGGCACAATCCAGCCTAAGTTAGTTTCATCTAAATCCTATTGAAAAAACTAGATAGATTTTTAGTAATGGGAAATGAAGTCCCACTTATCTGCGGCCAAGTTGTGGAAATTTTGCTGCATTGTGGTGATTGTGTTCATAGACAACAAAAACACACATCAATACCCTAGTGCACCTTTACAAGTGTTTACATTTTTAGTGTAGCCGCACCATATGACCACACAGAATTTTTTTTGTCAAGTATAAGATTACACAACAACCAATACAGAATGCAATTTAGCTAATGTTAGCTGTGACTAAGCCTCTTTAAAAACAGTGGGTATTAGAATGTCCACAACTAATTTGCTCTATTAATTTCAAAGTGAATTGCAGCTAACTGGGTTGGGGTTGTTCTTTCCTTAAGCCATCCAGCTTTAGCGTAGCATGCTAACTAGGAATTAATGAAATCATGGAGATTTAGGAGTAAACAAGTCTAGGACTGAGATTTAGAGGTAATTGAAAAACTAGTTCAGCTGCATTTATCAAATGTCCATTACTAAGGTTAATTTCCTACAGGTTCATTATTAAGGAATAAGAAACTCAAAACTTTTAGCACTTGAGGAGATCACCTCAAGTCTGAGCACCCAGCTTTATGCTTAGTAAATCTGTGTCTGAAGGCTGCCCCCATATATTGAAATCCCTGACATTTGACTGTAACCTACTTTGCCTCCTCTCTTTGCATCTCTTGATTATGGAAAAGTGGGCAGGGGGAATGCACTGGTACATTCTCTCCATTGTAGTATATTAATCAAACACATAAACTCTGAAGAAACATGTTTCATGTCTCAGATCAGTTCATCTAGGAGCTCAGTGGATGAACTTAAGCATGCCTCTGGCAATGTAATCCAAAAAAGACACTCTTCCAAGCCTATTGACTTCAGTGGATTTAGGTGGGAATACCATTTAGAGATGCACTATGGTCTCAGTCCTCCACTTGCTGTGCTGGAGTGATAATACTGTTGCAAAATGGCTGCAAGAATAACTGAGATAATAGAGATTATGTGCTTTGAATACTTAGGAAGAATACTGTATAAATTCTAAGCATTTTTTAAAAAACCCACACAAAACATAGATTCCCTGCTCTTACTCGATATGCTTGACAAACACTAACAATTTTCAAACAAAGTAATAAAAATTGTACTTCGGCCCCGGTCACACGGGCCAGATAATACGGGGAGGAGGTGTGGCTATTAGCGCCATCGCAATTTGAGCTGCAACGTGATCAGACGTGACAGCGGCAAACTGCGTTTTCGTCGGTGCATGGTTCTTGCAGCGCTTCATCGGGGCAAAAGGAGCGCACTGGGGCGATCAGACGGAGACAGTTTATCTGCGGCCCATGGCAAACCATTTGCTAGTAGCTCGTGGGCGGTACTTTTTAACTCTGCATCTTCAGCAGTAAGCTACGGGCTGGGGACGGGCGGGCGACACTTCCCAGATATTTCCGTATGATCGAGCCCGTTTAATCCACCCAGCAGTCGTGCCTCTCCCAAGGCAAATTCTCCGTGTGACCGGGACCTTCATTAACTTTCTTACACCTGCATGAGGACTCTGGTTTTTTAAAATAATCTGTAATAAATTTATGGCGTATATCTGCTTTCCTTAATTATGGGTGTCTCCTGCACAACAAGAAGAAAACAGAATAAGCACAAATTATTGGTTTCTGTTTTGAAAAGCAGTCATGCTTGTTTTCCCTCAAACACAGATTGAACCTTTTGGGGCTTTCAAATGGTAGTTATTTTCTAAATGAGCAAATAATTGAGACCAATTTTTTTCCCCTTTCCTTTTTATAGAAAGAGCGAGATTTAGAATTAGCAGCTCGGATTGGCCAGTCATTACTAAAGAAGAATAAATCTTTAACTGAGAGAAATGAACTCCTTGAAGAACAAGTAGAACATATCCGGGAAGAGGTAAAGGCAATCACATATGCTGAATGTTTCCAGTCAAGAAAACCTCTTTTTTCCCCTAAGCCAAACCTGTTTGGTTCTGTTTGCCCTCGCGTCTTGCAATTTTGTCCTTGTGTGTTCCATAATACTCTATAAAGAGGAAACAAAATGGATCCTCAAGCTGCTTGGACTTCCACAGCTACTTCACCAAGTAGCTTGACTCTGGCTTATGAAGCCCCACCCAATAGGACAGCCTCTCTCTGCCCTAAATGACTCCTTATTTCCATATCTGTTCCGGTTTGCCCAAACATCTTCCCCACCTTCTCCTCCCTTGTGTCTTTTGTTAAGCACTGGTAATTTATAGATGGCGGTTACTGTTTACTCATCCACTTGTGCTTCATACCCATCTCCTGGGCTTATTGGACTTCTTCCATGTACTGTCACTGGAATCCCCATCTTGCTTCCCTGTGGTGTGAAGTTTTTTGTCCTCCATTATCCTCACATTCTTCTGAACAGCAGAAGTGTACCAAGGCACCACTTGGATGGAGATCTCTCTCAGTCTAGGCTGAGAATCACTGTGGTAATTCCAGTTTTGGTCCATTTCTACTCATCCTTCACATTCTAGCCTGCAGTTTCATCATGATTAATGGCTATGCATTTTGTTGGACTACAAGTCACTTAATCAGTTGTATTCCCACCCGGCTCTTTCAGTCATTCTTCAAACTCTTTGAACTTTTCATTTATGTTTGCTTTTTTGTTACAGCTAATCATTGGCACATTTTTAAAAGCTCTTAACAAATCACATGGTGTTTTCCTTGTGAATCAAATATTTCATCATACAATGCCATTTAAAATCACAATCATATTTCCATTTTTTCCCGATCAGTGAAATCCATTGTTCTCGCCTTCTACATTGTAGCATTATCATGTGTCTCTTATGTTAAAAGCCAGATTATGTGAAGGTGTTGCAGTAACTTTAAATAAAGCATCGCTTATGCCCTTTTGCCTCTTAGATGTTATTCCCATGAAGATACAAGAACAATATCTAAAAGTACCAAAGAGGCATTTTGCTTTAAGGAAATTTTTGTTTGGGAATGAATTACTTGGAATTATTAGCTTTCATTTAGGAATCTTATGAATCCATTGTCTGCTATTTTATACCCGCCCTTAGCAGAATCTCTGAGGCTCCTTCCCATCCTATGTTTCAGTTGTGTATGTGTGTGTGAATGAGAGAGACGGAACATGAACAGTTCTTGACACACAACTCCACAGCAGGGACAGAGAAATCAGATGATCAATACCCCCTCTTAACATAACCTTTTCACCAATTTAAAGATTCAGGTAGTAAGACATGCTGCTTCAAAGCAACAGGAGGTTGTTTTGGACAATTGTATTTTACCTGGTAAAACCAGGACACTTTAGAAAAGTCTGATGATAATATTATGATCTCCAAGTATTTAAATATGAGCCAGTGCCTAACTATCACAATTCTAATTGTTCTGGATTTAGACTGTTGGGCACTTCCTTTGTCCACAACTTCCAACAGCTGTAAAGACAAGAAACATGTTTCTTCCAGAAATTCTGAAAATTATACCATGTCAACAAAAACTTCTGTCCACATCTCCTTTTTTAAAAAATATATATTCTCCAGGACTCGGTAATGAAAGTATTTTGCTGCTTCAGGTTAATGTGGTACATAATGCCGTATCATCATATGAACATTTCATTAAGAAATCATGAGGCAAATGATTGTACATTGCCAGAATTGCAAATAACCAGGCACGTAATATCAAGAAATATGCATACATCCAAAGTTGTCTGCCCCATGTGATTCTAATGAAAAGTCAGATGGTGGTATAGTTTAACTAACCATCATTATTTAACTAACTTTTGAGGTTGCAAATTCACTTGACCAGGTTCTGACAGTAGTAAAAGTGACCCTGGCATAGTTGTCTGGCCTTTTCATATATTTCCCTTAACTCAGTGTTTAAAATCTGCCCTTCCTACTCCTTTGCCACCATGTTTTTGTGTACTGCATTCAAACCCACTGAAATTTAATTTTTTCCCCTTCTGTCTCAAGGACAGAGCCTTTTCCCTTTCTCAGCTTCAAATAAGTGCTACTAACTTCTGTCCTGTACAACTCTTTCCAGTAGTAGTAAATTATGAAAACTGAGACTCAGACGCATTGTAAGGCACTAAAGAAAAATGAGGTGAGTGCATTGGAGTAAACACCATCCTATATATCCACAACCAGTTTAGTCTCTGGTCTGTCAATTGTCAATTGATTTTTTTGACTGTAAATTGCCTGTGAGAGAAGAAAATAGACACTTAGTATTATGACAGCATGAGGGAAATGTGTCGTCTTAGCAAAGACTACTGGTCTTCACTGTGTTTTTTTTCTCCCTTGTTTAAGGTTACTATACTTAATTGTTTTTCTAGAAGCCCTTCCTTGAAACACTGTACCATTCCTTCAGTGTTGACATTTCCAGCACCAGGAATTCTTTGGCAAATCCAGTTAGGCTCCTCCTTTTATATCACAGAGCCAAATACTAAACAAATTCATCTCTCAGTGTCTGGACATAATGGCTTTGGGGCTATCTTCCTCACTGTGTTTCGTTTTGATTATTAAGACCGTTAGAGGCATCTAATGTGTGCCACATTTTCAACTGTCAAGGATATGTAAAAATACATTTTGGTAGCTATGCCATGTCTACAAAAGTATTTTGCCTTAGATTTGCCTACACGCATCACATTTTTCTGAATTTGGGGTGAAAGTGTTCATCCACTAGTGGTTGTACTTTAAGTAATTAGTTTTGGATTTAAAATACTTTGAAAATCTGATTTAACACATCCCATCTCTAGTTCCAGCTCCTGCCAACCTAGCAGTTCGAAAGCAAGAAATTGCAAGTAGATAAATAGGTACCACTTCCGTGCACCTTGGTGAAACGGAGATGAGCACCGCAACCCTAGAGTCGGATTTGACTGGCTTTCGAGCAAGGGAAACCTTTACCTTTACCTTAACTCTGATTAGCATTTAAATGAAGCACAGGATTTGGTTTTAAGTCAAATTTTGAGTTGCAATATGAGCATCATATAGGCCAACTACAGAAGAACAGTGATGTTTCTCTGAAATAGAGGAGGAAAAATAAGGGAAATGCTAGAATCAGAATAATTTGTTTCTTCTTCAAACCTTCCTTTGTTCTCTGTTATCCCAGCATAAAACCATACTGTAATGTAGCACAGCCTACGTAGCCAAATAACATGATGTATTGGTGTAGTGGTTAGGAGCGCGGACTCTAATCTGGGAGAACCAGGTTTGATTCCCCACTCCTTCACATGCAGCTGCTGTTGTGACCTTGGGTCAGTCAAAAGTTCCTTCAGAGCTGTCCTTTCAAGGGCAGTTCTCTCAGAGCTCTCTTAGCCCGACTTACCTCACAGAGTGTCTGTTGTGTGGAGGGGAAGGGAAAGGGATTGTAAGCCATTCTGAGACTCCTTCTGGTACTGAAGGGTGGGGGATAAATCTAATCTCCTCCTCCTCCTCTTCTTCTTCTTCTTTCTTACAGTCTAGGTGAATTAAAATTCTTCAACACATCGAATATTTTTAAAATCTCTTAAATCAAAGTCAATCATTAAAATAATTCATTGAGCTGCTCGTCTCAATTTAAATAATAAAAATATTTTTGACACTAACTTCAATAATTTGGAAGAATAACTATGGATAAGATACTATTGAGCTCCTTCCTGAGTTTTTGCATATATACCTTTATAAAATGGTGCAAAGATATGAAGTTGTAAGTGGCATAGGTGTTTTTAGATGTTAATTCAGATGTTTTTAAGCATTATGCAGAAAAAAACTTGTGTAAATTTTCAGTGAGAGGGAAGGCAGCAGGGTATAGCCAGATCTTGGAAGCTAAGTTGGTTTGGTACTTGGATGAGAAGACTGCCAAGGAAGACTCTGCAAGGGAAGGCAATGGCAAACCACCTCTGCCTCTCACGCCCCTTGAGAGCCCCTGGCCTGGGTCGCCATAAGCCAGTTGCAACTTGGTGGCACTTATGTAGGTTTTCAGGACTCACGATATACGACGTTCTGTTTGGGGTTTTATTTGTTTTGATCTTTCTAAACACTGCTTTTGACTGGTAAGATGAACACCTCCAGTAAAGCAGTTATTGAGGCAGCACTTTCAGGAATCTGTGGCCTTTCTTTCTTATAGCTTCTCCACGTTCACTAAGTGCGTTGGATTATAGCCAGAAGCCTTGGCAATATTGATGTAAGGTGGCAGTAATGTTCTGTTACACCTGAAAGGTAAACTCAGCTGGAGATAATAATTTAATCTCATGGTTCTTTGTTGGCATTGGGGATGCCTCCTAGGTATGGAGAGCCACATTGCGGAACCTAGCCTGAAGTGGTAGCGCTTCTTATGTGTGAGTCACCACCAAGCTGTGATTGTTTTCAATCAATGTAGGACCATTTGATTTACTACAGAGAGATCAACACAGAGGTGAACTGTCAACTTGGAATGAAAAGAGGAGGGACAAATAACCTTCCTTTTATCATTGTGGAATTTTTATATGGTTCCACCCCAGACACAGAACAGTGTCCTCTCTGTTTGCAAGTAACTCCATGGACTGAACCATATACTCTAAACCAGTGGTGGCGAACCTATGGCACGGGTGCCAGAGGTGGCACTCAGAGCCCTCTCTGTGGGCACATGTGCCATCGCCCCAGCCTCTCATAAAAGTGTCGAATTCTCTGCCAAATAATTTTAAGTAAATGAAAGCATTTGGGATTGCTTTCCTTACTTTGTTTGGATCATCTTAAGTTAATGTATGAGTTGTTCTTTCAAAGTAACACCTCAGTATTCAGGTTAAATTGCTGTGTTGGCACTTTGCGATAAATTAGTGGGTTTTGGGTCGCAGTTTGGGCACTCGGTCTCTAAAAGGTTCGCCATCACTGCTCTAAACCATACAGAGGCTGACAGTAGGTTTTTTTTGCTTTCCGGGATGCACTTGGAAGATGATTGACAGACTTTCTCCCTTCATTTGTTCAGGTTTCTCAGTTGCGGCATGAGCTTTCCATGAAAGATGAGCTGCTTCAGTTTTATACCAGCGCTGCTGAAGAGAGTGAACCAGAGTCCTTCTGTTCAACTCCGTATGTATGGGATGGGGAAAATAGGTCACACTATCCTGTAGGAGTTCTGTTTGCACCCATCCACTACATCTGACACCACTGCATGGTGCTTGCAGCGAGCACCATCTGCAAAAACACGAGCATGGAGATGAACTCCGTACTCTAGATGAAAAGACCCAGCAATGAAAAAAATCTGCCTTTGTCATAACAGTAGGTGAGCGCTGCAGTCCTGTCCTTATACATACATCTGGGCCATTTCTTGGCATCTTGCAGTTTGCCATGCAATCTCGTATTAATACAAGAGTGGGCCACAGTCAGCTGTATTTATGCAGTTATTGCCAGAATGGCCCTAAATGCAGTGCTGTATGCTTATAGGTCAGCCCCCCTGTTGGATGTTTCTGGCTTCCAGTGGTGAATGGAAACTCTGACTGGGATAACTAAAACCTCCATAAAAATACAGATTTGTGCCTCCATACAAGTAGAGCTTGAGACTTGTAGCACACTTATCCCACTGAAGACAGCAGAGTAATTAGTCAGCATGTGTGGAAGACTGTCAAGAGAGGACTAGAGACCAGTGTTCCCTCTAAGCTGAGTTAGTGTGAGCTAGCTCACAGTTTTTTAGCCTCTGGCTCACACATTTTTATCTCAGCTCAGGAAAGACTGCTCCAGAGCAAACTAATTTATGAAGAAGCCAACTCGCTCGCTCACAGCTTTAATGCCAGCCGCTCAGAAAGTAGAATTTTTGCTCACAAGACTCCACAGCTTAGAGGGAACATTGCTAGAGACCTAGGCTGCTGTGTTCCATCTATGCAAAATCCAGCTGCACCATTGCCCTGGACCTTTCCTCTTGCCACTTCATTGTATCTGTGTAGAGGCAGGCTGCAGCTACTTAGTAATGAGGGGAAAGCTATTTGTGAATTATTAAGAGGCACTTTCCTTTACTCCAGTGGATGCTGTGGAAGTCTGGTGATGCCAAGAGGCTCTCGTGTGGCTGAGACATAGCAGTTTTTTTGGCCTCACCACCAGGTTGCCCCTTTGTTTTTCCTCAGTGAAAAAGTAGCATCATACTTAACATATTTACATTTCAGAGGCTTTTAAAAAGTGCGGGGGGGGGTTGTACAAATGTATACAAAGACTCAGAGGTTGCAGAGAGAGGCAAGAGAGCATGAAGGTCAGTTGTACAGCGAGAATGCACAGAGGGAGAGAAAGGCCAGCCTCTCCGTCAGCTGGGGGAGGGGGCTGGGAGCAGCCCACAAGATTGAGTTTCAGAGGGGGCACTCTCTTCCTTCACGCTTTCTGGCTGTGGATCAACTGGACCAGTAGAGAGGCACAGAGGAAATCCTGGAAGCCATGGTTGCCGTGACAAGTAAGCCTTCTGACGTTTGTGGTGGGAGACTGGGAAGATAGACGTTGGTTGCAGAGAGGACACCTCTGGTTGGCAGGCTTCACATGCAATGTACAAGATTTCCTTTCATTCTACAAGATGTGAGCCTTCTTCACTTGTGTCCAGCAGCAGCTCAGCATGTAAGCCATGTACACAATACCAGACTCATGTTAACCCGGTTGATCAGTGCTTCAATGAATTCTCAAACAGCAGCAGCAAGAAAGAAAGCACAACATCTTGTGGGTTTTGACAGCTCTTTATTGTTAGTGTTGCAACCCTGCCTGCCTGCTGTTTTGTTGTTAGATCCCTTCGTAGGTTTCACCTGTCATGGAACTATAAGACTGCACTTCTTTAAGCCATCTCCCGTAGAGAGCAGAGTGCTGTTTTCTTTTATATTTTGTAGCGTGCTTGGCATTAGGAGTGGGTGGAATAAAGAAAATGGCAAAGTTGGTTTTCTTTTAACCTGCAGTTTTGAGGCCTGTGAAAAATACTTTTGTACAGCTCCGCTTGTTAGAAAGCTGGTGTGTATTCTTTGTGCTCTCAAAAATTGGACAAAAATAAACCTATTAATGTACCTCTTACTAGGCTGAAGAGAAACGAATCAACTTCATCCGTCCAGAATTATTTTCATTTGGATTCTCTTCAGAAGAAACTAAAGGACCTTGAGGAAGAGAATGTTGTGCTTAGATCAGAGGTAAATCACTTCTCTAGTAATGGCAGCATAATAAAGTCATCTTTTACTTGTGTAATTTAGAATACAATACTAATGAGATTAGCAAAGCAAACAAACTTCAGGAAGCTGTACACGGCACTGGAAGTACAGAGTACAACTGTACCTGATCATCCAGGTATGTATTCCATTTTACACCCAGTATTTTTATACAGTCAGCATTTAGAAGACAACCTCTTAGCTGTGTGTGTTCTCCTACCACTGTCATTTTGTTTACATATGTTGCTTTTTAAATCTTGCCAGTGTTAGGAGTCACTCTCCCCATTCCATTTTGTTTGGAATTTCATTCATGGAATTCCATAGAGCAGAACCCAAGAAGAAGAAGAAAGAAACACTTTAAAATGTTAAAGTGGCAATTCTTGGAAAACCCGCCCAGATTTTTACTATGGTGTACCTTTCTATGGTATAAGTCGCAAAAATAAATAAAATAAATAAATTCTCAAATTCAGGGATTGTGGGGGAAACACGCTTAAGTTATCACTAATGAACTGGTGGTGGGGGAATCCTTGCTGCCCATGTTTGCAGATACCAAGGAATCTTAGTGAACACCTGGGTGCACTTGTCCGCAGATTCCTGAAAGTAGGTACCCGTGGAGCTTCAAACTCCCATACCCGACGCCCATGACCTCTGTAGACAATGGGGCAAGGGGTTATCAGCTTGATCAGACTGCTCAATAGAAGCTGACCCAAAACTAGCAGTTCGAAAGCAAGAAATTGCAAGTAGATAAATAGGTACCACTTCGGTGGGAAGGTAACAACGTTCCATGCGCCTTGGTGTTTAGTCATGCCAGCCACATGATAACGGAAACGTCTTCGGACAGCGCTGGCTCTTCGGCTTTGAAATGGAGATGAGCACCGCAACCCTATAGTCGGATTTGACTGGCTTTCGAGCAAGGGAACCTTTACCTTTATCTAAGTTAAAGGAGCCGAGCCGGAGAAACAAACAGCAAGCCCACCACCTGGGTGCCGGTAGGCAGCCCCGTCCCTGTACTATGTGGCCTTAGTAGGGGAAAGAAACACTAGAATCTCTATGTAAACCGCCCAGAGACCCTTCGGGGTCAGGGCGGTATATAAGTTGAAGATATAAATAAATAAATAAATAAGTTCATGCCCCTGGCCTATATATGTTGTTTTGCTTTTCTAGTTTCAGTGATGACACCTAGTGGTAGTAACTTGTAATTGTTCCTTATATTCATGGAAGAGAAAATCAATGATCCCCATCCCCCCCCCCAGAACTATGGCTCAAGCTGTACAAAAAAAATACATTTCCCTTTAAAATCAAATGGTAATTGTCACAGTACCTCTGTTTTATTTTGTGTGGTTAGGTGTGATGTAGTTTTAAATTTCTTGTTGTTTCTTTCACTCAAAGTATCCATTGCTACCACCAGGAATTTAATTCCAGTCTTTAATTAACCTTCCCCACAGTATTGTGCCCAAGCTCTAAGGCTCCTTCATTGGACTATGTAGTTCTGAGGATGAGACTCTTATATTTTAAACAGCACATGACTCTGAGTTAACAATAAACAACATAAAACTTTATTGGTAAAAGCAGTGTATTGGTTACAAGATGTTTTGTTAAGCTGCTCAGTAAAATCTTTCCCTTTTTACTCAAGTCTCTTTCAGCTTTTCCCCTACACTCTTATAATACTCTGGCAATATTAGATTTTGCCTAATATGCCCCCTTAAGTATATTTCTTCCTCCTTTAGAATCTTAATGCCTTTCACAGCACTTCTATATGCTTCTGTTTGGAAGACTGCTTCTCTGACTCTGTGGAGACTGACCACAACTGACAGCTGCTGACGTCTGACTGAACACTCTTGCCTTTTCTCTGTCCGCACACACTCCTTAGCTCTGCATACACTCTCAGTCACCAACCAATCACCTCACTCACTCACCTCCCTCTTTCACCCCCTTGTCCTTCTGACACTTACCAACCATTTAAAGAAACACACACATAGAACTTGAAATCATTACAGTAATGCTAGAAACAGCAAGAACTTAAAGCATTGTTAATTCTGATTTATTTATTTTTTTGATATTGTGAACAGGCCTGCCAGCTGAAGACAGAAACCATTACTTATGAAGAGAAGGAACAGCAGCTTGTGAACGACTGTGTGAAAGAGCTCAGTATGTTTCTCTTATTCCTTTGTTATGTGGTCAGGCCATTTAGGTGCAAGATTGTTATACAAATTAATATCCAGTCAAAAATAGAAGATTGAAGTCAAAATGAGGAGGAAGATCTTGTATTTTATTGCAATGAAATACGGAAAACAGTTAGGCCAAAGGACCCATCAAAGTTGACTGCTTTCTGA